CACCCAGCTGAGGGTCCCATGGGATTGGGCAGCGCTGATGTCATCAGGGGGACAAAACTGAGGCAAAATCCTTGTGAACCTCAGACCCAGGTGGGATTTTTTGCCCAAGTCTGTTGCCAGCCCTTCGTGTGGGCACGCTTCAGGCTCCTCCATCCCCGGAGCAGGAGGACACATCTTGGCAGCCCTGGCTCTGCCCACTGGACCTCAGGGGCAGGGCTGTTTTCTCCGTGGACTTCACCGAGGAGGTCTCGAGCAGGCAGCAGCCTCCCGCATCCCGGACCCAGGCCCGAAAATCCCGGGAGACATAGAAGTAGATGAAGGGATCAAAGCAGTTGTTGCAGGCGCTGAGCACCAGGACCAGGGCGTAGGAGATGTAGGTGCCGTTGTTGCACCCCGTGGGCTCCAGCATGTAGTGGATGAAGAGCATCACGTTGCTGGGCGTGAAGCAGAGGATGAAGACCAGGAGGACCAGGGCCAGGACACGCACCACCTGCCCGTGGCTCCCTCCCTTGGCCAGCAGCCGCGCCAGGATGCAGCTGTAGGAGATGATCATGAGCACGAAGGGCAGGCCGAAGCCCAGCCCCACCAGGGACAGGAAATAGTAACCAAAGAACCTTTGGGTTTCCTTTTCTAGCACATCGTGGCACGTCGTGATGTTCAGGCTGGAGATATTGTGTGTGTGGGAGCGCAAAAGCAGAGGGCTCATGCCCAGCCCCACCAGCAGCCAGATGCCCACACAGATGCCCACTTTGCCTCTTGTCCAGCTGGAGCCCTTCCACAGGAACGGGTGTGCCACAGAGATGTAGCGCTCCAGGCCGATGCAGGTGAGGAAGAGGATGGAGCTGTACATGTTCCCGTAGAAGAAGGCCACCATGGTGCGGCACAGGTAGTCCCCAAAGGGCCAGTGATTGCCCAGGAGGTGGTAGGAGATCTTGAAGGGCAGCAGGAGGACAAAGAGCAGGTCAGCCCCAGCCAGGTTGAGCAGGAAGATGGTGCTGGAGCATCTCCTGAAGTTGGTGGCCAGGACCCAGCAGGCCAGAGCGTTGGCTGGCAGCCCCACCAGCAGCACCATGGAGTAGAGGGCAGGCAGGAGGCGGGTGCTGAGGGTGCTGTTGAGAAAATCTTCCTCAGAGGCCTGGGAGCACATGTTCTTCTCCTGGGGAGTGAGGGGGACCAGGGCTCGCCCTTTCTTGTTGGGCGCTGCGGGGACACAAGGGGACACAAGGTATTGGGCTCAGCCGAGGGCAGGAGCTGTCACCCCTCCCTGCAGTGTGACCACAGGAGGTGGCATCTCCCTGTCCCACATCAGGGGAGCCCCCAGCGCCCTGCTGCCCTGACCCTGCAGAGCTGTGACCCATCCTGTGCCAGACACCAGCGCAGCGGTGCCCTGCTCTGAGCCCGGACAGGCTCTGCTCCCACATCCCTGGTGCTGCTGATGTCCCTTGTCCCACCCAGCCCGGCACAGCGGGATCAGGAGGGCAGCACGGGGTTGGAATAGTCCCAGCCATGTCCCCAGCTCAGCTCCCCACCACAGCCAGAGACATCTCCTCATCTTCCTGTGGTCAGGGGTTTTTCATTGTGTGCAAAGAACTAAAGTGAATAACAGGAAGACGCCAGGACACCAGAGAAACAACCCAGGATCAAATCCCTTTTCTGGCTTGCTCAAAGAAAAAAACAGGCAAGCTATGCACATCAACCCCAGCTGCAGAATTTCTATCCTGATGGTCCCCAGAACACCCTACCCCAGGGGGCTTTGGTTACATCCAACACATCTCCCACACCCCCTCTCTGCATCCTGGGGATGGAAAATCCAGGTTACCAGAGCAGTAGTCTGAATTTTGCTGCCAAAAGGCGAAATGCTGGCTGGGTTTCAGGTCTTCACTCAGATTCCCAGTGTGGACACTGAGGGAAGGCAGCAGAGCAGGGCCCTGAACTCTCCCCATGTCACCTAGCCATCGCCTCCAAGTGTCACAGAATCACAGAATATCAGAATCATGAGCTTTGAAGAGACCTCTAAGATCAGCAAGTCCAACCTATGCCCTAACACCACAACTAGACCATAGCACCAAGTGCCAAATCCAGTCTTTTTTTAAACACATCCAGAGATGGTGATTCCACCACCTCCCTAGGAAGACAATTCCAGTATTTTATTATTCTTTCAGTGAAAATTGTTTTCCTAATACCCAACCTAAACCTTCCCTGACATAGCTGAGACTGTGTCCTCTTGTTCTGCCAGTTGCTGCCCGGTGGAAGAGACCAACACCCACCTGTCTGCAGCCTCCCTTCAGGAGCTGTGGAGAGCAATGAGGTCACCTCTGAGCCTCCTCTTCTCCAGGCTAAACAACCCCAACTCCCTCAGACGTTCCCTTGTGTTCCAAGCCCCTCACCAGCCTCGTTGCCTCCTCTGGACATCATAGGACGTGATGTTGGGGTGTCCCAGTGAGGTGTCCCTGCCCTACCCCATCACCCCCAGACCCACCAGGGCACTTACCTGAGGAGGGCTGGGTGGCAGAGCCAAGCCAGGCCCAGCTGAGCAGGAGGGTGACACAGGCAGCAGCAGAAGGTGACAGCCCCCGCCGGGACATCTCTGCGGAGCGGCCGCCGTGCCAGCCGGGTCTGCACAAATGGCACAGGGCTGCTGACACGGCGGGGCTGTCACCCGTCCCTTTCCCTGCTGACACCCCCCTCTGTACGTCACACTGGTGTCCTGCCCACATCCCTGTGGCGTGGCAGCCAGACAGAGGCGTGGGGTCACTGACAGTCACCACAGCGAGCATCTGGGTCACACCATCGAGGGGGGAAATTTCCAGCTGCCGTCACACAGCCGCATGCCATGGCGAGGAGGAAGTGGGCAAGAGGCAGCCGGAGGCAGGCAGGAGACACGGCGGGACGATGGAGCTGTCTGTGCCCCGTGTGTGGGACAGGAAGGTGGCGGCGGGTCCCCAGCCTGGTGACATGTGGCCCTGCCCCACTGCAGCGCTCCGGGGCACTGGGCATCCTGCCTGTCCTGCCCTGCCAGGCCAGACATGCCCAGGATCCATCAGTGGGGTCAGGCTGATGAGCTGGTGTCACAGCGTAGATGGGGCCACCCTGCATTGTTCCATTCTTGTCACCAAAGTGGGTGGCTGGGTGACCTCTGGTCTCTTTTTCCAGCTAAGAAGGGAAATAACAGAGCCAGAGACACATCCCCAGCCCATCCTCGTGCATTGTCACACCCCAGGGGGACCCAGACATGTGCAGCCAACCCCAGAAATGTCATGGGAACAGAAAGAAGGGGACAGTGAGGGCAGGCACGAGATGTGCAGGAAACACAGAGAGAAATCCAGACAGAAGGAGAAGTGAGCCATGAAGGGGAGGGGAGAGGGTTGGGAGGGAGCAGACGGGGACTGGCTGGGGGCCCCTCATGATTCCAGCTGGCCTCCACTGAATGCCACTGCTCAGCTCTGTGTCCATGTCCCCATGGCAGGGTCCTGCCAAGCCAGGGGCTCTGTGTCCTCCATGTGATGTGGGACCCCACACGTCCCTGCGCTGGGGGCTGTCCCCTCAGTGTCCCACATGTCCCCACATCCCAGGACCAGTCCCCCAGCACCCATGTGTCACCACATCCTGGGACCAGTGTCCTGTGTGTCCTCATGCACAAGGACTTGGTCCCCAGTGATCCCAGTGCTGTGTGCCCCAGCACTCCCCATGTCCCCATGTCCCCATGTCCCCGTGTCCCCCTGCCCAAGCACAGTGCTGCCCATCACCCCATGTCCCTGTGATCCTGTGCCCACACATCCCCATCTCTCATATCCCTGTGTTCCCATGTATGTCCCTGTCTTCCTGTCTCCTTGCATGTACATGTCCCCATGTCCCTGTGTCACATATCCCTGTGTCCCCACGTTCCTGTCTTCTCATGTCCCCGTGTCCCCATCTCCCATGTCCCCACGTCACTATGTCACATATCCCTGTGTCCCCATGTCCCTGTCTCCCACGTCCTCATGTCTGCATGTCCCTGCCTCTCATATTCCTGTGTTCTCATGTCCCTGTCTCCCCACCTATACATCCCCATGTCCCTGTGTCACATATCCCTGTCACATGTCCCTGTCTTCCCACATCCCCATGTCACCATGTCCCTCTCTCTCATATCCCCGTGTCCCCATGTCCCTCTCATATCCCCGTGTCCCCGTGTCCCTCTCTCTCATATCCCCGTGTCCCCGTGTCCCTCTCTCTCATATCCCCGTGTCCCCGTGTCCCTCTCTCTCATATCCCTGTGTCCCCATGTCCCTCTCTCTCATATCCCCGTGTCCCATGTCCCTCTCTCTCATATCCCCATGTCCCCATGTCCCTCTCTCTCATATCCCCGTGTCCCCATGTCCCTCTCTCTCATATCCCCGTGTCCCGTGTCCCTCTCTCTCCTATCCCCGTGTCCCATGTCCCTCTCTCTCATATCCCGTGTCCCCTGTCCCCCTGTCCCCGTGTCGCATCGCCCCGCGCACACGCGCACCACCGACCGCCAGGCGGCGCTGCAGCCCCGAGGGGCGGGGCGCGCTGGGCGCGCTGGGCGGGGCTCCCTGTGCGTCACAAAGGGGCGGGGCAGAGGGCGGGGTCGATGGGCGGGGCCTGAGGCGTGTCCGTCCGTGGGAGTGGGCGGGGCCTGATGGGGCAGGGCAGGGGCGGGGTCTGTGGTGGGCGTGGTCTGTGGGGCGGTGTCTGGTTGCGTGTTGTGGGCGGGGTCTGCTGTGGGCGGGGTCTGTGGTGGGCGGGGTCTGTGGTGGGCGGGGTCTGTGGGGCGGTGTCTGGGTTGTGTGTTGTGGGCGGGGTCTGTGGTGGGCGGGTCTGTGGTGGGCGGGGTCTGCGGTGGGCGGGGTCTGTGGTGGGCGGGGTCTGCGGTGGGCGGGGTCTGTGGGCGGGGCGAGGCCGCCCGGCAGTTCCGGGCTGGGCACACGCGGGCCGGGGCGGCGGCGGTCGGGGACCGGCGCCGGGATCGGGCTCGGCGCCGGCACCGGGCCAGCGCAGCGATGCAGCCGCCGCCGCGCAAGGTGAGCGCCGGGCCGGGCCAGGCCGGGCCGCGCCGGGCCGCGGGGCGGGTCACCGGGGCCGCGTCCTCCCTCGCCGCCGTGTCCTGCAGCCGTGACCGAGACTCGCCCCCGGCGCAGCCTCCCGGGGCTGGGGAGGCGAGGCCGCGGCTGGGTGGCACTCAGGAGTGGGGGCGGGTGGGCAGCGGGTCCCGGCAGGGCGGACAGCGCGTCCCCGCGCCCCGTGCCCGCCGGGGCTGAGCGGGACCTTGCCGCAGGTGAAGCTCACCCAGGAGCTGCGGGTCCATCTCCTGGAGCAGCTGTCGGGCCTGCAGAGCAAACAGCAGCGGGACGCCGAGCTGCTGGAGGACATCAGGTAGGGCCCGCACAGGTGACGCTCGGGTCAAGCTGAGAGCGGGCAGCTCATCCCGTGTGTGCGTGTGCCCAGGCGGAGATGAAGCAGCTCGTCCCACGTCTGTGTGCGTGTTCCCCAAGCTGAGGCCGGGCACGGGTGGGCCAGGGAGCGGGCACGGCTCACCTTGAGCCTGTCACCTCGAGGTCATGGGCTCCATCACCCCCTGGGGTGGCCTGATGGGGACAGATGGTGGCAGGGGATGGTGGCAGCAGGCGATGGGAGGGATCCCATCCCTGCCCCTCTCTGTGTGTCCTCTCGTGTCCCCTCTCCCCCCAGGTCCTACAGCAAGCAGAGGGCCACCATTGACAGGGAGTACGGGCAGGTAAGGAGCTGCCAGGGGATTTGGGATCACCCTGGGGGGGGCCAGGCCCCACCCTGCCTGCCTGGGGCAGGAACTGGGCACGGCCCCACGCTGGCGGAGGGCAGCCTCGGAAATTACCGGAGTGTGGCTGCTCCGTGCCGGCCCCGGAGGGTGGTGGCAGATGGCTCATCCTGCCGGGAGGACCCTGGCCACGTTCAGCACCCGCTGGGGACTCTGCTGAGCTCAGCATGGCCAAACCTTGGGTGTTTTGGGAGCCTGGAGGGAAAACCTTGTGGCGGGAGGAAACTGCTGGACTCTGCTGTCTGCTGGGTCATCGCAGGGCGCTGCTCTGAAATGTCAGTTTGGTTTTGATGTGAGATGTCCCTGCAGTGTCCCTTGGGCATATATTGCAGCAGAATTGTGTCCCCCCTTCCTTCCTGCAGCTGGTCACTGTGTCATTCATCTCCCTCACACCCCCCAGGCTGGGGGTGACCATCCTTTTCCCCAGGGTTGGGGTCTTGCTGTGCTTGGCTTTGCTGGGGCTCCTCTACTCTCTCTCTGTAGCCAGTGTCCCTCACTGATGTCCCCTTGCAGGTGCTCTGTCCCAAAAGTCGCAGCGGGGGGTGGTCCTTTTGTTGTGGTGGCTGCCCCCAGAAAGGCTTTGTCATGGGGAGCACGATGGGAATCCTGCTGACACCGAGCCACGGGGATGTGTCTGTGCTCTGGGGGGCCACGTGTGTGTCCCCAGGTCCATGGGGTGGGCAGCCAGGGTGGGGCAGCCCAGTTTTGGGCCCTGAGGGGGGTGGTGGGTGCAGGGTCGGGCGGTGCCGGTGATGCCGGGTCTGTCTGCAGGCGCTGCAGAGGCTGGCCAGCCAGTTTGTGAAGAGAGACTGGCAGCGGGGCCGTGGCGAGGCTGGCGACTCCAGGTGGGCTGGGGACGGGGACAGGGCTGGGGACAAGCAGGTGGGGCTGGCTATGCCTGCCCATATGCATCCCCACTTGGAGATGCTTAATGCCAACCAGGATTTGGGTGTCGCCAGGACAGCTGTGGGCGGGATGTCCCCAATTCCAGGGCCCTGCTGGGGTTGGGGGTGCTGGCGGTCCTGCTGGGCATCCCCAAAAGCTGTCACAGGGCAGGGAGTGCCCGGCCCTGTGTTAACCCTGTGCCCACAGGAGCGTGGCCGCTGTCTGGAAAGGCGTCATCGAGGGGACGGCACACGCCGGGCAGGTCCGTGTCACTGCCTCCGAGAGCTACCGCGCCCTGGCCGCCGAGGCCGCCCGCAGCGCCCGCCTCTCCAAGGAGAGGACGCTCAAGAAGGTACCGGGGCAAGGACATGTCCCCTGCGCCCGGGCGGTGGGGACAGCTGTCCCCCGCAGCTGACGCTCCCCGCAGGGCATCGAGAGGCTGCAGAAGGCGCAGGTGGAGCTGCTGGAGACGGTGAAGGAGCTGGACAAGGCGAAGAAGCAGTTCAGCCACCTCCAGCGCAGCAGCGAGGTGGCCAAGGACAAGGCGGCCGATGTGGAGGCGCGGTGAGTGGGGGGCACGGGGCCGGGGGCTGCCGTGGCTGCGGGGTGGTCTCACACCCCCCTCCCACCCTCCCCAGCCTCCGCAGGAGCGACCGGCGGATATTTCACACCAAGGCCAGCCTGCAAAAGCTCAGTGCCAAGGTCGGTGGTGCGGGGGTTGGCAGGGTACCCACCTGGGTGGATACAGGGGGACGCGGGGCACCATCGCCAAGCCTCACTGCCCACATCCCCACAGTTCTCAGCACGGCTGGCCGAGCACTCGAGGCAGCTGGCAGGGGTGCAGAACGAGTACAGCTTTGCCCTGGTGTCTGCCTCTGCCCACCTGGAGCACTACCAGCGTGTGGAGCTGCCTGCGGCCATGCAGGTAGGAGATGCCCGGACCCCCCGTGCCCCTTCCACGGAGTCCCACAAGGAGCATCTCCCCATTGCTGGCACAGGGTCAGGGCTGGCTGCCCTGGGGGCTCAGGGACGCTCCAGTGGGGGGATGTGGCAGTGCTGAGGGGGTTTCCTGCTTTCCCCAGGCACTGGATGGAGACCTCTATGAGCGGCTCCGGGAGCACTTGTCGGCCGCCAGCCGGACGGAGGTGGAGACCTGCCGGGCCACCCGCGACTGGTTCCAGGGCATTGTGGAGGCATCTGCACGGGTAATGGGGCTGTTCCTGAGCTGGGTGGGACACGAGGACACAGGTGAGCCCCCCACCCCACACTGCTCCCCTGCTGCAGGTGTGCCGGGAGCAGGACCTGCTCCTCTTCCTGCAGGACCACCCCGCCTTCTCCCTGGCGCCCGAGCAGCGCTTCCAGCTCGCTGGGGTGGAGGAGGTAAGTGGAGGGGGTCATTACAGCAAGGTGGGGTTCTGCACAGCCACCCCCTTGTCACCCCCGTGTCCCTGCCTAGGTGTGCCTGCTGCCACCAGCAGACGACGGGGCCAGCCTGGAGAAAGAGGCGCGGCGCTGGGCCACGCGGGTGGCCCGGGAGCGTAAGAACAGGGCACACAGCGAGGAGGTGGGTGTTGTCCTTCCCCACAGAGCACCAGGGGGTTCAGGGAGGGGCTTTTGCAGCCCCTCACCAGCTGCCACCACCCTCTGAGCTGTGGGTGCCCACCCAGGTGCTGCAGCGGCTGGAGGCCAGGCGGCAGCAGGGGCTGGAGGCGGAGGCGGCGGCTGTGGAGCGGCAGATGGAGGAAGTGAGGGAAAACATCCGTAAGGCAGAGGTGGGAGCTTGGGGTGGCATCGAGGTCTGTCACCCCCATGGTGAGGGATGTAGGGACAGGGAGGGGTGGTGGCTGGGATGCTGGGGATGCCACCACGCCTGGGGATGGGGGCGATGGGGTTGGGACACCACCCGTGATATCCTGGGGACTGTGACAATGGGTGGTGTCCCCAGGTGAGCCGAGTGAAGGCCGAGGCACGGCTGGCTTTGCTGCGGGCAGCAGGGCTGGACGTGGACGCCTGGCTGGCCGGGGCCATGGTGGGGACAGGCGAGGAGACCCCCACGGGGCTGGACCCGGGCGAGTTCGATGACTACGAGGACAGTGATGAGCCGGATGAGGACGATGAGCCTGGGCCTGCTGCTCGCTCCTACCCCTACACCTGCCGGGTGATCTTTGGCTACCAGGTATGGCCCTGCCTGCCCGGCCTCACCCTGCCTGCCCAGGGATGGCACCTCAGCCTCTCTGCCACTTTGTCCCCATCTCCTGCAGGGCTGCCAGGCGGATGAGCTGTCCATCAGCCAGGGCGAGGAGCTGGAGATCATCGAGGATGGGGACGCAGAGGAGTGGGTGAAGGTGGGAGCAGGCTGAGCCCCCCTCTATACTGGAGGACACCTTTTGGAGGTCCCCAGGCTGGCCCCACTCTGGAGCCTGGGATGTTCATGTGGTTTCTGCTTCCTCAGGCTCGGAACAAGGCTGGGCAGGTCGGCTACGTCCCCGAAAAGTATCTGCTGTCCGTGGGGTGTGACTTGGGGGCTGGGCTTGGCCCCCCAGGCCCCTCTGCCTTGCAGCGCCAGCTCTCCAGCATCATGGCTGCAGAACTGGTGCTGGAGCCTGGAGGTGGGTGCTGGGCATCACCCCCACCCCAGGGAGGGGGGGAAGGATCCAAAGGGTGGGTGCTGAGCCCCCTCCCCGCCCACCCCACAGCCTGGCTGGTGCGAGCCCTGTACGACTATGAGGGGCAGAGCCCCGAGGAGCTGAGTTTCCCCGAGGGGGCCATCATCCGGGTGCTGCCCCGCGCCGCCGGCGAGGTGGACGATGGCTTCTGGACCGGCGACTTCGACGGCCGCGTCGGCGTCTTCCCCTCCTTGGTGGTGGAGGAGCTCACCGGGGCCCGGGAGGGAGCCGGGCAGGTTGGTGGCAGGAGGGTTGTTGTGTCACCCTGGCGCTTCCACGAGTGCTGAGGTGAAGACCCCGTTCCCGCCATGCCCATCCCTCTTGGCTGTGTCTTCCCAGGAGCTGCCATCACCATCCCCTCCACCCTTCTCCCCTCCTGGCCTCGCGCCCGGGGCCAGCCTGGTGCCCAGCCCTGCTCCTGAGATGGTGCTGGGAGGTGAGTGCTGGGGAAACTGGGAGGGGGCTGGGGGAGCCCGGGAAGCCAGGCTGAGCTGCTGGGCCCTCCCAGGTTGCCGGCAGGATGGCACGGGCAGCGGGCAGAGTTCTCCAGACCTGGCAGCCACGCGCCTGCGGCCGGTAAGTCCCCACAGGGATGCTGTGACCCCAGAACCTGCCCCAGCCTTTCTGTAATGGAGCCTCCCATGTGTTTTGGGGGGTCAGAAGGGGGATGAGTGGCCTCAGCATGTAGGCACCACTTCTCTCCCTCTCCCTTTCCCTCTCCTCTCCCTCTCTGCAGCTCCGTGCGCCGCCCCCGCCGCCCGGCAGAGCCCCCGAGCCCGACCCCGAGCTTCACTTCAGCTGACCCTGTGGGTCCCCCCAGCCCCCCGTCCCCCAAAAAGCTTTGCCCAAGCAAACCACCACAGGCTGCTGTCCCAGCAGCAGGGGCTGGAGCTGTCCCATGCCCTGAGCTGGTCTCTCCAGGGGCTGCATCCTGCCCAGTGCTGCTTGCAGAGTGGTCCTGCATCCCAGTACAGCACCCCACAGAGCCCCTTTTTTGGGGTGTCCAGTGCCACATCCAGGCCCCATCTCACCCCCCCTCCTGCCTCTGCCCGTCCTGCCTGGCATCGCCCGTGCACTCCCAGCCCTGGTTCCTGGGGGGCTCATCTCTGGACCCTGCCAGCCCCCACAGCACCTCCCCACAGGCAGGAGCGGGCGTGGGGGGGCTGTTCCCAATAAATCAATAAATCCCGCTGGCCCTGGCGAGGGGTTCAGCAGCTTTAATGGTTGTAGCTCGTCTATGTACAGGGCGTTACACACCGAAGCTCGTGCGGCCCCGGGGCTGCCCGCTGGCCTGGCCCGGGGCCATCCTGCCCCCGGGGCCGGGCTCCGGCCCCTCCTGTCCCGGGATGGGGCCGGGAGCTCCTCTCTCCGCCAGCATGTCCCAGGGACCTGCCGGTGCAGGGTTTGTGCCTGTGCCCGCTCTGCGTGGCAGGGGTGCCCGGGGGGCTGTGCTCTGTGCTGAACGTGCCGGGTGGGTGGGGGGTGCTCCCCACCGCCCCGGGGGGGCTCAAGCCGCTGCCTCCATCCCTGCCCCTCGCCGCGGCCCCCTCTGATCCTTCCCCCGGGGCTGGGGGGCCGCGGGGGCAGCGGGCTCTGGGTGCTGTCCCACCCCTGCCAGGCCCGAGGGTCCCTCGGGGGTCTCCGGGGAGGGTGCGGTGGGTGGTTCTCGGGTACCTATTGCCAATGGGATGAAGGCTGGCGCCGAGCGCGGTTGTCGGTGACGCCGGCGCGTCGCTCCGGCCATGCCAAGCGCGTAGCTGCCCACCCGGGGCCGGGCACGGCTGCCCCGCGGCCGCCCCACGGCAGAGCCCCCAGCCCCGAGGGGTCCGGGGGCTGCGCGCCTCCCGTGCACGCTCCAGCCGGGAGCGGAGAGGAGCTGGGGGAGAGAGGCAGGACAGGGCTTGTCCCCACAGCCATGCCACCTCCCCACCACCCGCAAATGGGACTTCCCAGAGTCTTTCTCCAGGGGGCCAAGCACGTCCCGACCCCCTGGAGAAAGAGCTTGCCCTGTCTCCATCTGCAGCACCAAGGTGAGACCCACCAGGGCAGGGACACTGAGTGCCCTCCCACCCCCCCACACATTGTCCCAGGGGCAGGGGACGAGCACTCACGTCACACACGGTCCTGTTCCGTGGCACTGGGCTCCTGTGGGATGGAGGAGGGATGTCAGTGCTCCCAGGGGCTGGGCTGGGGCTCTCCCTTGGCCACAGCAGTGACCCAAGGGGCAGAACTGCACTGAGTCTCCAGGAGCGACTACAGCCCAGGCACCATCTCTGCCCTTCCCCACCACCTGCAGGACGTGAGGAGCAGCAGCCAACCTCCCTCATGCTGGCTCTGACTGCGACTGAAGGCACGGGGGAGGGTCCAAGTGGCACCAGGGCTTGGGGACAAACATCCCTGGGATGTCCTGTCACCGTTCTCCTGGGACCCTGTGTCCTGCAGCACCCCAGCACCACGGGCAGCAGCCAGGCAAGGGCCTGGCACTGCAGAGGGGGCAGACATCGCCATGTGCCTGGGCTTGCCCTGCACCTAACTGCTTCCCCAGGGATCAGAGGGATTCCCAAGGCTTAGTGGGCCACTGGAGGTTCTGTCACCACCTCGCCAGGTCTCTGGGGAAGGGATGCAGCCCATCAGATTGTCCTGCCATGCTGCCCTTCCCCATGAAACAGCTCAGACCTTCCAGCCTGGTCACCAGAAAGCAAAGAGGGAAACAGTGGGATTCTGCTTTGTCCTTAACCAGCATCCAGCCAGGCACCTTTCCAAGGCCTTTCCCGTGCTGACCCAGTCCTGCCCCGTCCCACTCCCTGCCAAGGACTGCTGGCATGTGCAGAACCAGCCCCAGGGGATCTCCATGGCTTTGAAGCATGCCAGGAATTTTACCCAGGCATTTGGCTTCCTTTTTCTTCCAAGGGCTTTGCCACGTGTGCTCTGGTCTGGTTTTGTAAGGAAAGTCAAGGCCCAGCTCCTGGAGCTTCTGACACTACAATGGGGGGTGTTTTGCAGCCCCCTTCCAGGAAAATCACCTTTTCCCAGCTGCAGAACCACAAGTGAGTGAAATTCTGGGTGTCTGAACCACCACCAGCAGCCTCATTTGCTCACTGGTAACAGCACAGAGGCAATTCCAGGGAGAAAATCCCCTGGAGCTTCCTAACCCCTCCAGCAAGGTGGTTGGGTGGGATATTGGGACGTAGCAGGGATCTCCAGGCAGGGTGGGCTTTCCTCCTCTCTGAGCACAGCTCTTCAGGAGCAGGGCAAAACAGCCAAGTCCACTTGGCTTTGCCATTTCCCGGCCTTCGAGGTAAGAAAGGCTCCTGGAGAAATCTGCCCCTGCCTGTTCCTTACTGGCCACACTGGGCCCTGTTGAGGATACCATTTTGGGGACACCACGTGCAGCAGTGGAGCTCTCCCAGGTCAAAATCCCAGTGGATGTCCCCAAGAGCTCAACCACAAAGGAAAAGGAGTCCCTTGCCAAGGGGAACCAGCAGCAGGTCTGCAGCACCTCCCGCTGCCACTGAAGCACAGTGGGACATGTCACAGTCACTCCACTGCCTCAGACATTGGAAAATGAGCAGGGAAAAGCAATTTCCCTCCAGCCCAGGGGACCACCTGGTGGATCGGGAAGAAGAGGAACGTACCTGCTGCTTCCCATCCTCCCCTCCGGACTGTTTCCTGCTGCTGTCGTCTCTGCCCAGCTCATCGGCCTGTTCCTGCAGACTCAGGCTCCCGTGAATATCCGACACTTCATCCGCCGACGCCAGTCCCATCTCCTCCAGGCAGACGCCGGCTCCTTCCCTCGCCAGCTCTGCTGGGATGTTGGGACTCGACGCTCCCAGCGCCGGCATGCTCATGAGCCTTCGCTGGCGGCTCGAGCTCCCGGGAGCAGAGCCAGCATCCTGCAGGGGCCCCACTGGGCCGGACTGTGCCGGGCCGGGCCCCACCGGGCCGGACTGTGCCGGGCCGGGCCCCACCGGGCCAGACCGTGCCGTGCCAGGCCCCGCGGCCGCCCGCCGGCTGTCGCGGCTGCCGGAGCTGGCCGGTGTGTTGGCGGCTGGGCTGGCGGACAGGCTCTGCTCCGCGCTCCTGCCGCTCTGCGTGCCCGTCGGGATGGCTCCGTTCTGCAGGCCGGCCGTGGGGACAGTCCCGTTGAGAGCCCGCTCCCGCTGGAGCATCTCGCTGCTGCGCTCCAGCTCCTCCGTGCTCGGCTCCCGGCTGCCGGCGGGCAGGACACCGTCCTGCTGCTCCTGCACCGACGGCTTCTTCCCGATGTGTGTGACACGGAACCTGGAACGGGGGCAGGACAGAGCAGTTTTTCCGTGCTGTCCCACCGCTGGATTCCCAGCTCGCCTGTACCTCCAGCCCCGCATCTCCTCTTTGCCGTGATCTCCAGCCTTTCTGACCCGTTCGCATCTACACAAGCCATGTTCCCAAACTGATTTTTCCCCTTCATTTTGAGCAAAACAAACAGAAAGAGAAGGATGGGTTGTGCAATCCAGATCTTGGCTGGGGCAGAGCTTGTGCTCCCAGCAGCGAGATGGAAATGCTCTGAGACAAGCTGGGTGACAGCGCGCCCTCAGTGAGGGCAGGGACAGGGTTTTGGCAGTGATTTGGATACAGGGATCAAAGGCTGGAGAGTTGTTTGGTTAAAATCTGCCAAAGTACATTTTGCACCATCCCCTGAAGGGGCGGATGGGACCTGAGTGTTCGCCAAGGTTCCACCATGAGCAGGTAACAGTTCAGAGCTCCTGGGTGGGCAGGAGAAAAGCTGCAGAAATGGGTCTGACACCCTCAAAATGTGGATTAATAATCAGAGGTGGTGCAACATTGCACGTGGGGAGAAGAGAGGGGTTAGGGAACATAGAGTCATGGAATGGCTTGAGTTGGAACGAGGTCCTAAAAGATCATCCAGTTCCCCACCCCTGCCGCCCCCCCCACACCATGGGCAGGGACAACTTCCCTTCAACTGGTTGCTCCAAGCCCCATCCAACCTGGCCTTGGACACTTCCAGGGATCCAGGGGCAGCCGCAGTTTCTCTGGGCAACCTGTGCCAGGGTCTCCCCACCAATTTCTTCCCAATATCCCTTCTAACCCTGTCACTGGCAGCAGGAAGCCATTCCCCCTTGTCCTATCACTCTGTGTCCTTGTCCCAAGTCCCTCTGCAGCTCTTTTGGAACCCCTCTAGGCACTGGAAGGGGCTCTAAAGTCTCCTTGGAGTTTTCTCCTCTCCCAGTTCCCTCAGCCTGGGAAGGGTAAGGTGTCAGCAAAGCCTGAGAATCTGAATTGTGATTGTGCTTATTGTGACACACCGTGACTCCTCCTCACCAGCACTGCCAGCTGTGCTGCACCAGCAGACAGGAAATCTCCTCCACGGGAGCTGGTGCCCACCAGCCAGAGCACTCCAGGGCCACCAGTGAGACCTCGTGCAGCCCATGGCTCACCCACAGCCACTCTCACTGCGCTTGGATCGCAGAGGGAAAAGCCATTGGACCTGGCTCTGCTGAAGTTCAGCTGCGTGTCAGTGTCAGGGCAAAGCACAATTTCAGAAAGTTAAGTGCTGCTGGTGTGGAAAGATGAGCAAGAAAGGCGAAGCACATGGCAGCACTGCTGTTCCAAAGGAAAAAGCAGAGAGATCCAAAAGACAAGAACAGATGCCAGGAGAGTTGGCAGAGATGAAGGAGACCACTTCCAGGCTGGAGCCCAACCTGTGGCAGCGCCAACCCCTCAGCAGGGCCAGAAAGCTGCTCAGGATCGGGAGGGTGGAGAAGAGAAATGCTCCAGCTCCAGAGAAGGTTCCCACAGGACTGCTCAACTCAGGCCAAACAGCAGCAAAGGTGACCTTTCAGGTCTAGCCAGATATTTGGAGATAAGACACCAGCACTGCCATTTGGGAAGACCAAAGAATGTTCTGGCCCTGAAGAGGGACAGGAAGGGGACACAAGTGACAGAATCACTTCTTTGTAATGCCATTGAGCAATGTCAGCCTGGAAGGGTTGGGAGTGGATGGAGAGAGCAGGAAGGGTTTGGACTAGAGGGGAAACAAGAGGTAACGTAGCCAACCTCTGGCTGGTGAGGGAAAGCAGAGGAGCCCTGGTTGGCTGCCTCATCAGCATCCCTGGGATTCAGTGGGATGGGTCCCACTCTGGCTGATGGGGCTGAGGACAGAGATGTTTTATGGACAACCTCTGTCAGTCACTGACTGCTACTGGTTGAGGGAAAGCGCTGAGCTAAGTGGTAAATCATCCTATACCATACATAGCCCTGATTGCCACACAAGTTTAGAACAATTTAGGTGCAAAAAGCCCTCAGGAGGTCTCCACTCCAGACCTCTGCTCATGTCTAGGCCCCCTCCCACCCTCAAGCACTTTGCCCAGAGCCCTGTTAG